ACACACACACACACACACACATACACACACACACACACACATACACACACACACACAGGCATTTCGTGGTGTCATAGACCATGTAACTCACTCAAGGTTTTTCTAAGATGAGTACATATGATGCCAGTGTCAACTACATCTTGTGGTAACCTATAACTCACACAAGGTTTTTCTAAGATGAGTACATATGATGCCAGTGTCAACTACATCTTGTGGTAACCTATTGTGGTTACGGCAAGAGTCCATTGATCAAACCAATGAAGCAGTTAATCAATCAATCAATCGACAAATCAATTGATTCAATGTGATTGACCAATCTATCTGATTGATGATCTACCTGATTGACAGATCGCGCCACATTCGTTGATCGATCGACCATCCCCTTCCACAATTCATAATCTCTTGACGGACTGCTTCTGAAAAAACGAGGGACTACTAGGAGGAAAGTAACAAGTAATTAATTGCCGATTAGTATTTTGGGAAATGCCCAGCAGTCTGTTGTCTGGCAGATTCAGAGCTACCACAGTTCCATGCCACGTGTCATCGAGCCGATGGGAGTGTGTCAGGGACCGCCAACCTGCCAACCTAGGAGATGGTGACATGTTATCAGCGACAGACAACTGTCATATCATCATCATCATCGATGAAGCCCTACCACAGATAACGTGTCATTATCTGAAAGGTTGGAGGCCCATCAAGGAAATCCGCAGGGCAAACCGTCATCACATCACATATATGATCTGATACACTATCACAGACATCTCATGATCACGTATGATGCCTCCGAGTACGCACACAGGGTTTTCTTATGCAAAAGTTGTCATCATGATAGCGTTTGTTGTCTTGATGCAAATTTCACACGCGAAGGCACGCGTGGACAGGCTTATTGTTCATTTAAGGTTTAGAGTGTAGGGTCTTAGGGCTTAGGATTTAGGCTTTGGGGTTTTCGGGTTTAGGGTTTGGGGTTTTGGGGCTTAGGATTTAGGGTTTGGGGTTTTCGGGTTTAGGGTTTTGGGGCTTAGGATTTAGGGTTTGGGGTTTTCGGGTTTAGGGTTTTGGGGCTTAGGATTTAGGGTTTCAGGTTTTACGGTTTAGGATTTAGGGTTTGAGGTTTTCGGGTTTAGGGTTTAGGGTTTTGGGGCTTACGATTCAGGGTTTGGGGTTTTCGGGTTTAGGGTTTTTGGGGCTTAGGATTTAGGGTTTTGGGTTTTAGGGTTTAGGGTTTTGGGGCTTAGGATTTAGGGTTTCGGGTTTTAGGGTTCAGGGTTTTCAGGCTTAGGATTTAGAGTTCGGGGTTTCTGGCTTAGGGCTATGTAACACCCGAAGACGCGTCCGCGGGTCCAATCTCGGATGGCGAGCGCGCGGACCCGATTTTACCCGAATTTTCCTGAATTAAATAATAGTTTATAAAAATATATATAAATATGGGGTTGTAGGGAATTTTAAACCCTACAACCCGATATTTTTTTATTTGGAATCCGACTTTGTTTCGGATTTTTTTTAATTGGAAAACTAAATTTGATTTTAAAAACATTATAAATATATATATAAAGAAAAGTTGGATTTGTTTTTTGTCATTTTTTATCATCAGATATATGGTCCGTGAGTTGACCTGTATGTTTGAGAAATGAATTTCTGTTTTTTCCAGGGGTATGAGGTGTTTTAGAAAAATAAAAATACAAAATTTAAAAACAAATAAACAAAAAACTTCAAAAAAAAAAAGGTTCAATTGATTGATTGATATTGATTGATTGGTTGATTGATTGATTGATTGATTGATTGTGAGTGTGTGTGTGTGTGTGTGTGTGTGTATGTGTGTGTGAGAGAGAGAGAGAGAGAGAAAGAAAGGGAGCTGCGCGGCGCGGGCAGCTGCGCGCGCGCGCGCGAGAGAGAGAGAGAGAGAGAGAGAGAGAGAGGTGTTAGTGTGTGTGTGTGTGTGCGCGCGCGCACGCCGCGCGGGCGGCGCAGGGAGCTGCATGTGCGCCGCGCACACGAGAGAGAGAGAGAGAGAGACAGAGAGAAAGAGAGAGAGAGAGAACACCTATATCTGTGTGTGTGTGTGTGTGTGTGTGTGTGTGTGCGCGCGCGCTGCCCCCGCTGCCCCCGCTGCGCCAACTCGTGTGTGTGTGTGTGTGTGTGTGTGTGTGTGTGTATGTGTGTGTGTGTGTGTTGCATACTGTAACGTACAGACCAGAACAAGAACCGAACTTTCAATACAAGGTATAAGATAGCACAACGGAAGACTTAGATACAAGTGATCCGAAAAATCAATGTTGTAATGCAACCCTGAACATACATCATCATCATCGTTACATGGTGTGAAATGGGCCTGGCGCTTCACACAGGAAGACTGCGCCAGCCCATACCATACATAGACGAAGAGGAAGGGGATAAACGAAAAGAAGGGGGAAGATGGGAATGTCGTCAACACCAAGTCTTCGGCACAAGCCCAAATAGTCCCTCGTCGAAATGTCAAGTCTGGATCCAATGTCGTCAAATCTCAAGTCACAACTCTGTCTCTCTCTGTCGTAGTCTGAGAAGTCAGGTGGCGAGAGGGTGAGAAGAGAAGGTGGAATTAGAAGAGGAAGAAGAAGAACTCTCTCTCTCTCTCTGTGTCTTGTACTAACCTGTGAAGTTGGCGCCTTGATGCAGGTACCACGAAGATGGAGCTGGAGCGATGGCGCCACAGGTAAGTAACACTGGCCTCCGCCAGTCTCTCTCCCACTCTACGATCTACCACCTACCAGCGCCCAGCGCTGAAGACTACAACTACAGCTATGGCGCCCAACGCCGAAGACTACAGCTAGAGCTACTACTACTACTAGCGTTGAGGACTAATGTAGCGCTCCTCCTGAGTGCTGCGGCCGAAATCCTGAAGACTACCCGTGCCTACTGACACTACCTACGCGAGAAGTGCATGGGAACTTCCTATGTACTACGGGTGTGCCTCTTGAGCTTGCCGAAGGAAGGCAGAGGCTGCAGCTGTAGCTCGTGCTCAAACTCGTGAGGAACAGGATATTTCTGGCCTGTTCCGCATCCCTGTTTAAGTGCCTGAGTCCTAGGGGCATGTCGAAACAATGAGGGCCTCAAAATGGCCCTCCGTTTCATGTTGAGAACTCTAGGTCTGAAAAGACCCAGAAATAGGCTGAAACGGGGTAGGGCCTGCAGGCCCTCATTTTTTAGCATCCAGGCTGAAACGAACGGGGCCTGTAAGCCCTAAGTTTTAGGCTTTTAGGCTGAATGTCCGGGACGGGCCCTGCAGGGCCCGTGTGGCTACGCAGTATGCCACACCCCCCCCTCCTTGAAGAACCTAGCTCACCTGCGAGGGCGAAGCTGTCAGTAGATGCAACCGCGCGGAGGTACGGCCCCGTCCTCGAGGATGATCTCGTGGCGGATGGGTCGATCCGGTATTACCCCGTGCGGGCCTTCGAAAACGTCGCTATAGGCGTCGAGAAGTTCGGTGATGCGTGGATCCGAAGGTGAGTCCGTCGATGAAGCGTCATGGGGAGGGAGGGCGTGGAGAAAACACACCCCCATCTCCTCGATGTCGTCTCTGATGATGAAAGCTCGCATGCTTGCGGCGGATACCACGTGGCAGCTGATCGAAGGATGAGGAAGAGGCACCGTGCATGGAACTAGTACTCCGTTCCGATTTCGGATGTGAACCGTGCGGTGGAAGAAGTTCACCGGGTGATCCTTGCTTCGCAGCCATGACATGCCCAAGATCATGTCGAATTTGGTGTCCAAAATGTCAAAGGACACCGCCTCACTTGCGTGAGAGGCAAAGTACACTGGGACGGCATCAATGCACCGGTCGATGGACTTGTGCGTATGACCGTCTGCCAGAGTGACTTGCGTAGGCTGGGACTTCCTCCGGACACGTGGGCCATGGCCGACGCGTACCATGAAGTCTTGGCTGATGTAGTTGCGAGATGCTCCGCAATCGATCAAGGCACTGCAGGTCGCCTCTCCAATCTGAATGCGTACGTATAGCAATGGTGCGTCGATGTCGTCGTACCGTTGCGTATTGAATTCGCGGTCGATCTTCGCGATGTAAGCGTGAAGGTCGACAACCTCTGCTCGGGCGTCCATCAACGGAGCTGGTACTGCAGTGTGCAAGTAGTCCCGCAGTTGTGCCATGAGCACATTGCAATGCGGTTTCGACAATCGTCCGGTCGAGGGAACGGGCATCGACTGGAAGTCCGCGAACGTCAACGGGTCGATCTCTTCAAGTCTTGACCATGACGTCGAATCCCCGACAATAGATTGCGGCGAAACTGCCGAATCGGTTGTCGATGGTGATGAAACCGTGCATGCGGTGGACTGTTGCACGTGGAGCGGTTGGTCCAGTGGTGGAACCAAGTGGACAGCATAGTCCTCGTAAGTACACCGAGGACTTGCGACATTCGCATCCTCCCCAGATGTGCAGGAGGCCGCTAGCAAGGCGGCCGAATCTGGCGGAGTAGAAGGTGGAGTCGCCTCACCTTCCGCGGAGCTCAGTTTCCCGAGCTGAGGCGGGGTTGCACATCCTCCTTGCCCTGATCTTGGCACAGGGAGGTCTTGTGCTTGGTGCTGTTGCACTAGTAACAGCTGCCGTAGCGGCCGCGAACCTTGTACTCCGCCTCGGTCCAGCCAAAGTTGACCAATGGAAATTGTCCTGGTTGTCCATTTCCAGCCTGCGATGCGGATTTCGCCTTCCCATTGTTGCGGGACTTGTTGTTGCTTCGTGGCTGGAGAACAGCCACCTGATCTCCGTCACTTGATGCTGGAGTGGCTGCAGGGTTATCTCCATTGTCCGACCGGACTGCAGCGAACTGCTGCTGTTGTGGACCAGTTCGTACCTTCTCCACATAGGTTGGCTGCCACGTGGACTTCTCGTGTGCAGCCGGCCTGTTAGTCTTGATGAGCTCTCTCGCCTTGTTGATGATCTCCGCGAAAGTGTTGTACTGCTCGCGATCACCAAGTGCGAGACTGAGAGCGGCGCATGACCTGTTGTAGAACTCACGCCGCAAATGCGGAACTGACAAGTCCAAATCGGGCGTCGCCACGATTTTCTGCCAATCCGTGAGCCAGTCACGTGTCGGTGTGCTCCCTTAAGCCATCGTGAAGATGCGGTTGATGGCGAGTGCCGGGGCGTCGTCGACGATGAACCGCTTCTTCCATTCCTTTGTCATGTCTTCCCAGGAGACCTTGTACAGGTCTGAAACCCGGACGCCGTGGATGGTTGCCATGTGGCTGAGCCTGATCTGACAACCTCCCTTGGTGTTGATGAACAGAGCACTGATGAACAGATGGTCAGGGACTTCGTGAATCCACAACTCCGTTGTAAATCCTTGCCACCAGACGACCGGGTCTTGATGTGTGTAGTCATCAAATTTCTCGATCCGGAACGTCGACATCTTGTATGGCCCCGCCGAGCTGTTGTTGTGGCTGTGGTCAGTCTGCTGCTGCTGACTGATCTTAGTGTCCAGCAACTCGAACCGCTGGCTGATGGTGGCCGGCTCTATGGAGAAAATTATGTCTCCTAGCAGTGCCACTACGTGGTCAATGCGTTCCTCCAGTTGGCGGCTAGAGGATGCACTGCTGGAAGCTCCGGCATCTGGTCCTGGTACAACCTGTTCGAGGTCCAGTACACGGGCGTCCAGTGCCCGTGTGGCATCCTCGTGCTGAGTCTTCTGATTCTGCACGGCCCGCTGTAGGTTTGCCAGCTCGGACTGTAGGTGGTTACATGTGTAAACCAACCTGCTCACGAGCTTGGCCATGAACAGCTACTCCCTATGATGCTCTTCCGATGTTGGCTTGTTGCCGTTCGGTTCAAAGTGCCAGTACTTGAGTTTCTCGATGCTGCTGGCTTCATGCTGCTGCAACAAAGCCTGGGCTTCCTTGCGGCGAGCCTGGGCATCTGCGTCTGCTTCAGCCTGTAGCCACAACTTCTCTGCTGTTGCCGCTTCATCAGCCTGTAGCTGGGCAGCCTTGACTGCCAGCTGGCGTTGTTCCTCAGCCTCGATTGCAGCGAGCTGAGCATGGACGCACTTTTTGTAGTCGGCAATGGGCTCATTGGCCAGTTGGTCTGGCAGGCCCGTCATGTTGTTGACGTGGCACTTCCGACGTGGCTTTTTGTCTGACGTGGCACTGTGTCTGACGTGGCACTTCTGATGTGGCACTTCTGATGTGGCACTGCTGATGTGGCACTGCTTACGTGGCACTGTGTCTGACGTGGCACTGCTGATGTGGCACTGCTTACGTGGCACTGTGTCTGACGTCACTGCTGACGTGGCACTGAGTCTGACGTGGCACTATGACCTGGCACTGCTGACGTGGCACTGCGGATCTGACACTGTGACGTGGCACTGCTGACGTGGCACTGTGACCTGGCACTGTGACGTGACACTGCTGACGTGGCACTGCTGATCAGGCACTGTGACGTGGCGCTGCTGACGTGGCACTGTACCGAACCGGGATGCATGCAAGGGGTTGATGGGAGGGAAAACGTAGGTAGGTAACCAACCCAACAATACTTCCCTCCGGCCCTAATCAACAGATAAAATAAAAATAAAAAATAAAAGAGGACTAATTCCTTTTTTTTTTATTTATATATATCTGTCGATTTATGATGAGTAGGATATTTCAGAAGAGTATTATGAACAAGATCTAGGCTAGATGCTGCAAAGTTTTGGCTTTTACAAACTGCGATCTTGAAAAAACAATTTTGCGGAATGGAGTAAAGATGCGATTTTCAGAAAAGAAAAAAAATCCAGTTTCTGAGAATATAGCAACCTCCGAATATGCCTAACGCAATATTGGTAGGCTTCGCGAGATTCGGTTTTAAAAAAAAAATTGCGAGATAGAATGGAAATGCAATTTTCAGAATAGAATAATTTCAGTTTCCGAAACTATAACCACTTCTATCGTTATCCCAATATGCCTAGAGAACGAAAATACTAACTTCAGAAATTTCAGCTATGTATGTGAAATTTCAGAGAAACGAATTGCTACTATCGGGAATTTTCAAACAAAACGAAATGCGATTTATCAGAAATTTTCAGATATTTGTCACGTAAAAAACGAACTACTAATATCATAAATTTTCAGATAGAACGAAAATGCGAATATCAGAAATTTCAGATAGTTGTGGCGAGAGAAAAAAATTTCAGAGATTTGACTAAGTCCTACTTGCGTTACTAATGAGTGATCAATAGATCGCAAGCTGGCTACTTGATTGAGCGGGTCCTCTGAATGAGAGGTCCGCTCCRATACCAAACTGTTGCATACTCTAACATGCAGACCAGAACACGAACCGACCTTTCAATACAAAGTATAAGATAGCACAACGGAAGACTTAGATACCAGTGATCCGAACAATCAATGTTGTAATGCAGCCCTGAACATACATCATCATGATCGTTACATGGTGTGAAATGGGCCTGGTGCTTCACACAGGAAGACTGCGCCAACCCATACCATATACAGACGAAGAGGAAGGGGATAGACGAAGAGGAGGGGGAAGATGGGAATGTCGTCAACACCAAGTCTTCGGCACAAGCCCAAATAGTCCCTCGTCGAAATGTCTGAATCCCAAAAGTCAAGTCTGGATCCAATGTCGTCAAGTCTCAAGTCACAACTCTTTCTCTCTTTGTCGTAGTCTGAGAAGTCAGGTGGCGAGAGGGTGAGAAGAGAAGGTGGACTTAGAAGAGGAAGAAGAAGAACTCTCTCTCTCTCTCTCTGTGTCTAGTACTAACCTGTGAAGTTGGCGCCTTGATGCAGGTGCCACGAAGATGGAGCTGGAGCGGTGGCGCCACAGGTAAGTAACACTGGCCTCCGCCAGTCTCTCTCCCACTCTACGATCTACCACCTACCTGCGCCCAGCGCTGAAGACTACAACTACAGCCATGGCGCCCAGCGCCGAAGACTACAGTTAGCGCTACTACTACTACTAACGCTGAAGACTACTGCAGCGCTCCTCCTGAGTGTTGCGGCCGAAATCCTTAAGACTACCCGTGCATACTGACACTACCTACCCGTGAAGTGCATGGGAACTTCCTATGTACTACCGGTGTGCCTCCTAACCCTGCCGAAGGGAGGCAAGGGCTGCAACTGCAGCTCCTGCTCAAACTCGTGAGGAACAGGCTATTTCTGGCCTGTTCCGCATCCCTGTTTAAGTGCCCGAGTCTTAGGGGCAGGTCGAAACAATGAGGGCCTGAAAATGGCCCTCCGTTTCAGGCTGAAAACTATGGGTCTGAAAAGACCCAGAAATAGGCTGAAACGGGGTAGGGCCTGCATGCCCTCGTTTTTTAGCATCCAGGCTGAAACGAACGGGGCCTGTAAGCCCTAAGTTTTAGGCTTTTAGGCTGAATGTACGTGACGGGCCCTGCAGAGCCCGTGTGGCTACGCAATATGCCACCCCCCCCCCTCCTTGAAGAACCAAGCTTACCTGCGAGAGGAAGGGACCACAGTCCGGGTGGGAGGGACATGGTCGTGAAGCTTCCTCAGCTAACCTGCGCTTTTCATAATGCGCGTAGATCAGCGGTGCGGATGCTTTCAAATCTGCGCCTGAAATCCACCGGGTGTCGTCGCGATCGCATGCTTTGAATGTGACTTTATACTGCCGCGGCTTGCTGCCGTACTTGCGATCGGAGATGACGCGGTCAACTTCCTGATGGCCATCCATAGAAGGAGGGTCCTGTGATCGTCGGTCCGGAAAGTCGTCGCTCTTGGATGGCGTGTATGTTGCCAGCTTCGAGGCGTGGAAGACCGGATGGACCGTTAGATGCTCAGGAATGTTGATCACAAATGAAGGGCCATCGGGCTCATCGCCCGCGGCTGCTGTCACAGACCAAGGTCCAAACCACTTGGGAAGCAGTTTGCATGAAACATCCTGTTCCTGTGCAAACTCTTCCGTGGAGACCCAAACCAGATCACCGGCGCGGATGGGACATGGTACGCGACGCCTGTTGGCTTGCTGCTGCATGCGGACTTGAGCCTTTTGCATATTTGCGCAGACTTGAGTCAGCAATTCCTTGTACTTCCGGACGGAAGCGGGAGAGCAGGCAGCGTCAATGACGGCTGGTCGAGGGAGGACAAGGTCGGCGAAGATCCGGCCCTTCCGTCCACCGTGGTGCAACTCGAATGGAGTCGCGCCGATCGCCGGATGCACCGAAGTGTTGTAGGCGAACTCGATGTCGGGGAGGCGGTCAACCCAATCTTTCTGGTYCGGACGGATGAGCGTACGAAGTATCATTTGATCGGTTTGATGTGCTCGCTCCGTATGCCCGTCTGTCTGAGGATGCCGAGCCGAGCTTGGTTTCATTGTTGCGCCGGACTCCTGCATGAGAGMAGTCCAAAACGCCGACATGAAACGAGTGTCGCAGTCGCTGACAATGTCTTCTGGTACATGTGGTTTATCGACAAGTGTGAATCGACAAGTGAGAACTAACTCGCAGCTCTGCTGACAGGACGACAATTCCAACCCGAAGTACAATGGGAAAGTACGAACTGACTCCGAATTGTGGAATTGAAGTCCTGGTTTGTCAACAATCAGTGAAGGGTTTCGACAAGTGCAAACCAACTTGCAGTTCTGTAGACAAGACAATTATGGCGATGCGCAGCACTAGGGGAAAGTACGAACTAACTCGGAATTGTGGAACCGAAGACATGAAAGCCGCACGGGTTGGGTTGTCAACTCTCCAGCAGTGTTGCTTAAAAAGTGCGAACTAACTCGCATTTGTGAAAATAAAGAACTGCCTTTAATGAAATATGTGTCTAACCTGGAAAAGCAACGAATAACCTCGCAGTTGTCACTCCTCGAACACAGTACGTCGCAAACTGCGAAGTGACTCGCAATATCTCTCTCTCTCTCTCTCTCTCTCTCTCTCTGTATATATATATATATATATATATATATATATATATATATATATATATATATAT